AGAATGAGGCAGGGACAGGGAGGGACATAAAGAGGCAAGGTGGAGCAATTTTTTGCCAGCTAGTTGTGTTTATGAAGACAGACAGATTGTATGCACAGAAATCACATTAGTGTGAACTCTTATTCTAGGCTGGCTAATGATACTGCAGGAGGTGGCGTTACATTAATGTTTAATGATGGACTCCTAGACCTTATAGTGGAGAGGTTAAATGTTGAAAGGGAAAGTATAGTCCTGAAAATAAAAATAATTATTTTTTGACTACTGGTTTCCATTGCTATGTCAGCATTGTCCACTCCACGCTATGCTCCTCCTATCAAAGGCAATTTGATACCAGGATCAAATTTAACTCAGTTCTGGAGTTGGATGCGCCTCTAGTGGCTGTCAGGAAGACTAAATTGCAAGGCTTTACATTGCAGGAGGAAATTACAGAATCACTGCACCCAGACCACTTCATCAAGATAAAGCGGTAAAGTGACTATAGGGGTCCTTTAATATTAGAACCTGTTCCAGGATATCCACAGACTAGCCACACCATTATTCACCATGGTTGCTAACCACAATAAAAGGAACCCATTCACTGCCCTAAGTGTGACATTTATTTGAAACGATGGATGCTTAGTTATCACATGAAAATAAACATATAATATGGTCTTTGGGAATATCTAAAAAATAATATTTTGTATGTGTACAGTATTTTTTCCACTTCTAGGAAACACTAACAATACAAGAGTTTCCTACCTTTATCCACATATTCTCTTTTGATGTTTACCTTCAAATATCTGCTCAAACAAGTCATTAGCAAATTACAAACAATTACCCATTCTTCAATACATTGCTATTTGTTTACATATATGGTCCTGGTCTATTTGCTAAACCCTTGCATGGACACAAGAATGAATCTATATATCTCTGTCTATATATCTATCTTTATTTTTATTTTATTTTCATACATTTTTGCAATTGTTCTGGATTATCTTTCTCTGTGGGCATTCTTCCTACTACCTCCTCCGTCTCTGCCACTCAAACCAATTTCATCCGTCCTCCGACTCTCATATGGGATAATAGCCTCCTTTTTTGCCGCTGTCTTGTCATGTTTGATTCGGCAGCACAAGGACTCTAAATTAGTCAAAACGTTTGCACGCTGGGCTTCCTCCTCTGCCTTTAGCTGTTGTGGATGCACTGAACCACTTGATGCTGAAATTGATGATTGCTTGGGAAAAATAAGAAATTGCTGGTGGCTACCAAGGAGATGCATTCACGCCGAGACCCTTTAAACAGCATGATGGGAGGGAAAAGAGATTTTCCTCTAGCCTAGCTGGGGCTTGCATTGTATATGTGCCAGTGTCCTGCTGAGTGATTACAGTTTTGCTGGACTGGGTAGTTCCTGTGAAATAACAAAGAAAAAAAAATACTAGAGAAATAAAGCATAGTGCAGTTAAATTCAATGACTTGCTGCTGTTCTAACTTACCTGACTTGTAAAGAAGTCTTTTTTCCCCCTGTAATACCTGTTTATTGAAGTCAGCTTGTTTCAAGCTCACCCTGGTACAGACAGCCTTCTGACACCTAAGGCGCTCGTCGGCACTATAACCACAAAAAGCAGCTGGATAGCTAAGGATTCTTTGATTTTTTTTTTTATATGATAGCCTTGGTTTTTGTCATTATTGAACTGTCTTAACATCTTCTAAAAGCTCTGAGCACAATTAGGAATCAGAGGTACGGAAGCGTACATGCAGTTTTTGAACCCGTATGAGAATTGCGTGTACTTTTAAATCAGGTGGAATTGTGGCTCAACTTTTTATGTGAAACAGCAAAGAATTATGTTTCTTTTTAGGAGGACTATGACTGCATATGTTGAGATCCTTAAGTAATAAAAAAATAAAAATAAGATACAATTTGTTTTATCTCTTGTATGTAGGATAATGATTGAATGGTTTTATGGTCTCTGTGGTTTAAATATTCACTGGTTAAAAAAAAAATAGTGTCAGTCTTTGACCATCTTTGTGCTGCAAATTCGACATGTACATAAATGTATTTTTTTAAATTTGATTATTCTAATATAGAACTCTTCATAGGTGTTAAAGACATGGGGATGTATAATTAGACGTACAGGCCATGCAGTGGATTAAATCCAACATTTTTAGCAAGTGCTCCATAAAACAGGCTTACACTTTGCTAACAAACTGAAGATAAATGAAGTATTTAAAGCCAAATTGTCACTTTTCTGGAAGTGACAGTCCCTTGTTCTCCACCCCAGTTAAGGTTTTTTCAGTATTTGCTGGGGTGAATAAAGCAGTAGTGGTAAGTAAAAAGCTTACTTACCTACACTGCATGTTCATGTTGTGGGCAATATTGCTGCCTCATGATGCTTATACACACAAAGATGTACATGTTCATGCACGATGTGTACAATATTCCTGAGGTTATTTTTTGTTATTTATTTGTTTGTGCAAAAATCTCCCATGTGACATTTCTGCTTTAAGAAATCATAGAACATATCGCAATCACATCCGTAAGTTAGTATTCAAAATTTAAATTAATCAGCATATTAATCTTTGACAGATCGGGAATAATGTATGAAATGCGAGGATGAAGAGCAGTTATTGAGAAATATCCCATTGATTTGAATGATGTGAGTGAAAATATTTTTTAAAAAAATAAATAAAAATAATACAAATGATATATATATATATTTTTTAAAATTCTTTATTTTTCTTGTGCATTTGATTACATAGTAACCCGTAGCGCCATGACAGCGGTTACAGGCGTTTCAATGGCATACATTGTCATGGCAGAAATAAACAGCACATTTTTTTTTTTTTTGTAAAACAGGCTAGGAACATTTTTAAGTTTATAAACATACTAAATACAGGCTGCTTTGCATGTCTATTGTGTTGGGTCACGGTGGGGTCGTCTAGCTTAAGACAATAAACATTCTATGATTCCAACGTGTTTAGTGGTAATTAGAGACAATTAAACATTGCCTAACTAGCTAAAGACATCTGTTAATGCCCCAACAGCGTAGGTAAGTACAGCATTGTCATGGTTAGTCGGTAGCATGGCATTGAGATAGTGGTAGATTTTTCTTTACTCTGTAGGCAATATAAAAAAGACAGGTATGCAGGCTGACATCAGGGTTAAATAATATTAGACATGTACTTGCTGGGCTGTCTGTGATAAGTATATCTGCCCTAATGCTTGCTAATATGAAGCCCAGGTTATGATCCACGCTATGTGTGATGTGTATGCTTGCTGATGTAAAGTGGTTGAGAGTGGTGTTAAGCAGCGTGCCTGGCTAAACATATTTAGAGAATGTTTGAGGGCAAAAGCGGAAAGCCCAATTTTAAGTCATTAACATGTTAGGTAGATTAACGAAAAGCATTCAATAACTGGAGCACATTAGTTTTTAAACAGGTCGTCTAGTGACAGGTGAAAAGTGGTAGGGCATTATGAGGCCAGTTTTTCTGTTGCTAGTCTCCCCACCCCACCACCGCTCCCTGTATCCCAACATAGAAAAGTAAAAGGCATAGGTATGTGGCATGCACATGGGTAAAAATAGTGGGGGTTCACAAGGCCGGCCTTAGGCGTGTGCGAGCTGTGCGGCCACACGGGGCACCGTGGAGCAGGGGGCGGAGCTAATTGATGGTGGGGCAGAGCTAAATGATGGTGGGGCGGAGCTAAAATGACAGCTGCATGGGAAGCAGGAAGGAGTCCCTGCTTTACCAACAACCAGAACCCAGGAGCTGCCTGCACTGCCTTCACTCCTCCCAGACCATAAAGGACAGAGGTAACCATGTATGACTGCCTGTTTGTGAATGTGTGTGTGTGAGTATGTGCAACTGTCTGCCTCTGTGTGTGTGGCTGTCTGCCCGTGTGTGTGTGTATGTGTTTAACTGTCTGCCTATGTGTGTGTGTGTGTGTTTGACTGTCTGCCTGTGTGTGTGTTTGTGTGTGTGCTTGACTGCCTACCTGTCTGTGTGTGTGTGGCTGTCTGCCTTTGTGTGTGTGTAAGCACCTGTGTTTGTGTGTGTGTGTGACTGTCTGCCTGTGTGTGTGTAACTGTCTGGCTGTGTGTGTGTGTGTGAGTGTGTGTGACTGTCTGCCCATGTGACTGTCTGCCTGTGTGTGTGGCTGTCTGTGTGTGTGTGGCTGTATGCCTGTGTGTGTGGATGTCTGTGTGTGTGTGTGTGTGTGTGTAGCTGTCTGCCTCTGTGTGTGTGAGTACGTGTGTGTGTGTGTGGCTGTCTGCCTCTGTGTGTGTGTGTGAGTATGTGTGTGTGACTATCTGTGTGTGTGGCTGTCTGCCTGTGTGTGACTGCCTGCCTGGGTGTGTGTGTTACTGTCTGCCTGTGTGTGTGGATGTCTGTGTGTGTGTGTGGCTGTCTGCCTGTGTGTGTGAGTACGTGTGTGTGTGTGTGTGTGTGGCTGTCTGCCTCTGTGTGTGTGACTGTCTGCCTATGTGTGTGTGTGTGGCTGTCTGCCTCTGTGTGTGTGTGTGTTTGACGATCTGCCTGTGTGACTGTCTGCCTCTGTGTGTGTGACTGTCTGCATGTAACTGTGTGTGTGTGAGAGAGACTGTATGTGTGGCTGTATGTATGTGACGGTCTGTCTGTACCTGTGTGTGGGGGGGGGTGGCGTTGTGAAGATTTTTTGCACAGGGCGCCTAAGGGCCTAAGGCTGGTGTGTGTGTTTGACGATCTGCCTGTGTGACTGTCTGCCTCTGTGTGTGTGACTGTCTGCATGTAACTGTGTGTGTATGAGAGAGACTGTATGTGTGGCTGTACGTATGTAACGGTCTGTCTGTACCTGTGTGTGGGGGGGGGCGTTGTGAAGATTTTTCATACAGGGCGCGTAAGGGCCTAAGGCGGGCCCTGGGGGTTCACTACCTATGAGATGGCAATTTTCTGAGTCTTAGTGGGCACAGTGTTAGGCAATAGGCCTATTGTTGCGCTATAGTCACTGGTCAGCCAATTCCCAGCATCGGAAAGTGCCTGGAGCGTGCCGATATATCTTGCAGTGTCTCCGGCAGGAGTGGTCGTGCAGGCTAGTATCCCATTCCGCCGTCTCCTGCTTTGGGTGGCCTGCATTTCTACTTCTTGGCTCGGATGTGCGGGTTCTCTTGCCCGGGTACCAATTGTAGGGGTTGGTCCGCTGGTCGGGTTTGAATCCGTAGTGGAGCTGGACGTTGCAGGCTTCTGGGCCCGGCCACCGCCGTTTGGGGCGAATGAGTGTGCCTTGTCTTGAATCTCCGCTGTGAGGCCCCATGCTGTGAGGAGTGCGGCCCGCAGGGTCCAGGTGAGCCATGGACTGCAGCCATGGTGTCCAGCCCCGTTGCGGCTCAGGTAGGTCAGGTTTTGTTGCATGTTGCAGGTTTTGTGTGGCTAGATGTGCCATTACTCGCCCTTGTTGCCGAGGAGCTCTGCTCAAGCACGTCTTTCCTCCATGCTGGTCAGGCCCCGCCCCCCAAATGATATATTTTGCCATAGCAGCTGGTACTGTTTTTGAAGTGGAACAGTCTTAGATAGATTTTATACATTTTAGTAAACTTGTTCATTTGTATTTTTCATCAGAATTTAGACTGAATACCATAATTCTGAGGAAAAACCAAACAAATGACTTGTGCAATGGACGAGCAGGTTAGATTGATTCGTGATTTGGAGTTCCGTCCGTGAAAAAAAAAAAAGAAGAAAAAAAAAAAAAAGATGATTGATGGTGCTCCACCTCGTCTTTCCTCTATTGGTTACTTTTTCTCACTTGATTTGTGAACCAAATGGGGGGGAAATGCACCTATCAGTGTATAGCAAATTAAATACATTTTTTTCTATTTTCCACTTTCCTGCTGGACTGGGTAGATTATGTGATTTCAGGAATAAATCTGAAGAAATATAGCATAGTGAATTTAAATTCAATGACTTGATGCTGTTCTAACTTACATGACTTGCAAATGAACTTTTCATTCCCTGTAATACCTGTTTACTGAAGTTAAAGTAGCCTTCTAACAACGATATGCTAATTTCCATGCCCTTTTTGTTTTTCCAAATCGTTTTTTGAATATTTTGAGTGGACTATATTCAGATAAGCCAACCTGTCACTTGATTGACTGTCAGACTGCCCAAACTAAATTTATTTTTTTCCGCCATGCAGAAGTCTATATTTTAGCACGTGAACATATATTTATTGGTACCATAGGTTAGTTGGTTAATACAGTAACTGCAATACCTGTTCAAATGTTATGGTGGCATATTCTAATCCCAGCACGACAAGCTAGACTTTTAATTTAGGTAGATGTAAGGAGTGGAAGTACATTTGGTAATGCTAACATTTATTTATTATGCAAAAGTTTGGTTGTACCCAAGATACTGTACTAAGTTCTTGACTGAAGGAAGTAGATACAAATGTCCAGGCACACCCGATGGTTCCTTCTAAAAGGCAGGCTTTATTTGAAACAAAGAAGTGAGACTGTTTCGACTCCTACATGAGCCTTTGTCAAGTCCTGACAAAGGCTCATGTAGGAGCCAAAACATTGTTCACATTTCTTTGTTCCAAATAAAGACTGCCTTTTAGAAGAACCCATCGGGTGTGCCTGGACATTTATATCTACTTCCATTGGACATTTTAGGGAACTTGCCCTTCCTGTTTCGAGCACCCTGGTGGAAGTATTTGTCCCAGTTCTTTGACTGCTCCTTCAAAGAATTCTAGAGTCAATCTTCACAAAGGTAAAAACAAGATAATCATATGTATTTACTGTTCAAAAGATGTTCATTTTTCTGTAAGACCTCTGAAACCTATAAACTTCCTTTGCGAAACACAATTCCTATTGCAAGTATGTATGAGGAGACTGACCGTCTTAAGAACTGGGTATGTGGCTCGGAAATCCCCTCCCACCAGAAGAACCCTCCACCTTCTAAACTAATCCATCTATTAAACTAGATGTGTGACTTGTGAAACCTCTACCTCAATCTATAGGTAGATCTCCTTACTTTAAGATAGAAATATGGTTGTTTTTTATATATAACTCCTGCAGTTTTCTGCCAGACTACTGTTATAGTACATATCTTCTGACAGCATATATCTAACAAAGAATTTTGGTTGATTTAAGTCAACAACATTTGTGGATCCACAGTAGAGTATCTCGGAATGAAAACAAAAATCTCAGATGCCTTAAAAAGCATTTAGCTCCAACAATAAAGGAAACAAAATCATCCCAGCTACTGAGAACATTATATTTCTGTTAGTTACTTGTCAATATACGTAACATAATTTAGCTCTGTTTCGTGTAGTAACTCTGCCCTGCGGCATGAACTGAATTAAAGGAACGTTGTGTGTTTCAACACAAATGTAGCTATTAGCAAGAAATGATGGAGGAGGCTGTTCCATTATACCATCATAAATATTCCAAATTAAAAGTGGATGGATACAATATACCTCTTGCTTGAGCTGACATATTTGATTTGTGCAACAGGGGCCAGGAAGTAAGCATCCTGACTGGAGGGAGCGACATGATTCATCTACCAGAATGGGAATTAGCAAAAATCTCCATTAATGATGTAATATATATCATGTATTTGTAATGCTACTGGACATTAGAACACTGGTTTGGATAGGTTGTTGCCATGTGTATAATCTCACCAATACTGTGCTATCACTAGGCTTTTATGTAAAGGCATATAAACATATTTATATACAGAGCTATTGAGTTTATAGTATGTATAAAGTATTCTTATTCAGAGTACATTACAGTTCATGTACACACACATACACACCGTATAATATATACATATATCATGAAGGAGAGCGTTCAAGAAAACTATAAAATGTCTATCACAGGCACTTTATCAAAGTACAAGCAGCTTATGTACAGCATTAAAGGAAAATTTCAGACAGCCAGAACACTTTAACTTGCTGAGCAGCTATATGTGTCAAGAGTGTGTCCTCTTTTTTCATTTTACAAAAAGTGAAGATTTTAAAAGAAATTGGCACTTTTATAAATTAACCTTGTTACACCCACTGGCTATCAATTTCATTCAGACAACCAGTTCTGTTACTTTGTTACTTCCTGGTTTGGTTAGCTCAGCAGAGCTTAACTCAAGAGGCCCAGAGAACCTGCTTTGCAAAGACTTCTCATTGAGCTGCATTGGGAAGTCTGTGATTGGACAGCCACAGAAAGTCTGAGCTGAGGAAGAAGGGGCAAAGGAAGCAAACAAGAGATATGCAGCTTTTGAAAGCTGTTTTAGTTGTACCTCCAATTAAAATAAATGCATAATTAAATGCATGCATGCTTCCATTGGGCAATTTATACTAAATAGTGACTTAAAAAAATATTTGGAAAGTGAAGTGTATGATTTATCTGTCATCACCATGACTCATCAGGACTTTTTCAAGAAAAATGAAGCACCACGCTAGCAGTTAAAAAAAACCCACTAAAATATAAAATTTAAGGTGATGTCAGAACTAAGGAAGGTAGTAGAAAATAGGTCCAGGCACTCAAGGTTTCTTCAAAAAGGCAGATTTATTGAAAACGGAATGTGATTGACAAAGGCATCTGTGAAGGCCGAAACGTTGCACATTCAGTTTCCAATAAATATGTCTTTTTGAAGAAGCCTTGAGTGCCTGGACCTACTTTTTACTTATATCTACCAAATTGGGTTTTGCCAAAACGGTCTTTGATGCACCTGGTTTTCACTTTATCTTTGAATCAGAACTAAGGATAGTGGCATTAGAGGGGACAAGATTGAAACAGTAAAGAAAGTTTCCATAGAAACTACAACCACCCAATATTTATTAATGAGTGTAAAAAACTAAGTAATATAAGCTACCTAAGGAAGGTGAGAATAAAAATCAGAGAATGACAGATCACATAAATCAGTGCTGAAGGCACCAATATGTGACTTAAATATGAAGCCAAAAAATACAGGGTCCTATGCTTGGGTAGCCCACAAAAGACCAGTAAACCATTGTCAAAGACAAGAATGATAAACAACTAAATAGAAATTTGTAGAGATAAACCATAATATATAAAAAAAGGAAAAATAATATAAACAAGCATTATGCAACATAGAAAGATTACAGAGGGAATTTATTACAACTAGAAAAATGAAGAATTAACAACTAGAGAAATTATGAAATTACCTAATCGCAAAATCACAAATAAATTGCTTTACTGTTTCTGTACCCTGGAACCACTTTGTTCCTTTTAATATAACCACAGACAGCTTCTAGATACTTAAAGGACAAGAATTTTATAGATTGTTCTAGAACATATATTTAGAAATTACTTAACCCCTTAACATGTGTGACATGTCATGATTCCATTTTATTCCAGAAGTTTGGTCCTTAAGGGGTTAAAGGGACTATCCAGTGCCAGGAAAACATATCCGTTTTCCTGGCACTGCAGGACCCTACAATGCCCCTATACCTCCCACCCTCCATCCCAGGTTGCTAAAGGGAGACCCAATGCGCATGCACGACATCCCCATAGGAAAGACAGCCACTAGAGGAGGACTTAACCCTGCAAGGTAATTATTGCAGCTTATAAAACAGCAATAATTACACTTGCAGAGTTAAGGGTGGTGGAAGTTGGCACCCAGACCCCTCCAATGGGCAGAAGTGGTCTGGGTGCCTGGAGTGTCCCTTTAAATTCAACTCTGTAAAGGTGTTTCAGAACAGTTATAAATTAAATATTGTTTATAGGGATGTGGTTAACTAAAATATCTGTAATTTGTAAAAAATATTATAATATAAATATATTGGCATTGATAAATAAGAAAAAATGGCCATATTTTATACCTTGTTTGAAGTTACATCCGACAAAAAAAAAAAAAATCTATTTCCCCGTACATGGGTAGAAATTTGTTGGTTTCATAAAAATGAATGCTATTACAAAATAAAGTACAGGACTTTGGTTATAGATGGTGTATGGGAAGGCAGGTGAGTGCTATCTTGCACTTGGGAGTTCGGTATACTTGGGTAGGCAGTGCCGTAAAGTGCATGGTCTTGTAAGCTTGTATAAACAAGTCTCCCTAAGAGCCCATACCTCATAACTCCGTGTAAGTAAGTACCTGACAAGCTGGCAGAGCTAGAGGGCTGTGTTTTCCCTAATAAATTCCTTTCTGAACCCACTTGTTAGTCAAGCATTGTGCACACTAACTACAGAAAAGGGCCCCATGTCCCGGGCATAAATTACTCTTGCATGCCACTGCTTCCTAGCAGAACCCTAGTTATGGATTACTTTGTTCTTGACTTGACAGGAACATAATTAGAACTGT